ATCCCTCAAGTAGAACTAACCATCCTTTACAACCACATCATCCTGAAATTATTTTCTTTCTTTTGGTTGCATAGATGGTTTATAGCAAATCATATATTTGAATTTAGTGTCTGGGGTCTGAGTACAACTTCCTATTTGGTCACAATGCCATCTAGCAACACTGTATACAAATTATGGAACAGCAAAAAATTGCATTTTTGCAGACATACAACACAGCAGGGTGGGTATGTGCCTAGGAGTGCTCTGTGGGGTTTTCCAAGGACAAGGGCCACGCCCCCTTCCTTGGACAGGCTTTGCTCTGAGGTAGAGGCTGGTTTCTCAAAAATGGAGTTACATCAGTTTCTCACCATCTCAAAATTTTAAAAACTATGAAAAATTGAGCAATGAGATCCATTCATTAGACTGAGAAGATTTCAGTCTCCTTTAAAATACTTTCAAGTTTTCAGTGATTTAAACTTTCAGTTCTGAGACCCCTGCTTTTTTTTTCCTTTATGTCACACTTTGTAAGATGCTACATAAGTGTATCCATGAACATTTTTCAAAAATGGGAAGTATTGGGATGTTGTAAACATTTTATTTCCTGTATCTTTATTAAATTGTTTTGTATCTTTACTATGTTAAAGCTAAAGTAGGTTCTAATTCTGAGCCCTGAGTTTCTGATATATCATAAAATAAAATAAAAAATGAATTTAAGTCAAAGTATTAGTTATTCCTTTTAAAATCCTAAAATCATTCCCTGAATTCATGATTTATAAATAAGCATTGTGGGGGGGGGGGATGAAGAAGGCTTGCTTTATATAGCTTCCTTTTGTAAGTCATATATTATACATTTATAATTTCTGGTATGAATATAATTGCTAGTAAACATCTTTATTTTTCTTCAACCATAGATCTGTAATGGAAAGGGTAAATGCAAACATTTCACATCAAAAGATTCCTAGAGAAGTTACAAGTGGGCTACTTTTCCCTCTGGTTTCAAACAATTCAAAATACTGGAAGGATAGTTATATATGTCTGTCACTTGGTTTTACCTGGAAGTATGACTACATGTAATAAAAATACCCCAAACAAGGATATAGGTTACAGATCAGAAATGTTTACTCTATGATCCTGAAATGAACTTTGGATCTTTTTTCTCCTTCCAACAATACAGCTGTGGTTGACTGTCAACAACACTTGGACTTTGTGTCATATTCTTGGAGAATCTCCTCCCTCCCCTCCCCACCCTTGACACACATATCCACACAGAAAAGCAGGCAAGATTCAGTATATTTAAGTTTTATTTGAAAGCCCACATTTCTTAACTTAGAGATACCTATATTCTATAGAAGAATTTTTTTCTCTCTTACAATGTTTAGACTGGCCCAATATCAGGGAAAATGTCCTTGGATTATAGCCATGTAAGATTTTACTTAATGCTTATGAAAGCACTGACCGCCTCCCCAAATTCCTCTGATAAGCTTCAGTAAGTATAATCACTACACTCAGTTTCAAAGGTCAAACTTAGCTTCTCGGAAATCTAAGCAAGTACCTGCAGTGCAGGATCCAGCAGTTATTGTGGCTACTTACAGAAAAAAGCCAAGGGGAGAGAGTAACTTCTCCAGGAGAGGGGTGGTCTCTGCTCCACCCCCACCTTATCTCCTCACACAGGACTGGCCAACTGGCCTAAGAGTCCTTGAACTCTATGTGTCTATTTACTCTGGTGGTGCCTGAGCATTTATCTTCTTGCCCCTAAGGTTTGTCCTTTTTTCTTGACTCAAGAAAATATTTTAAAATTGTGCCTGTTTCTTTTTCTCTGCAATGAATGAATTGACAACTTCAAAACTTTCTTTGAAAGTTACTTACCTGGAGTAACTGGAGGAATATGGAGTATGACTGGAGGAATAGCAGTAATATTTAAGATTTTTTTTAAAAAAGTTTCATTTTGCATTAGAAAAGTAAAGAATAGCCTTTATTAGGAAAAATATATTTCCATATGCAGTCAGCCGTTCAGAGCCGTGGGTTCTATAACCATGGATTCCATCAATTGCAGATTTAAAATGTTTGAAAAATAATTATTTATACTGAACATGTACAGGCATTTTCCTTCTTGCCATCATTCTATAAACAACATAGTATAACAACTATTTATATTGTGTTTATATTGCATTAGTTAATATAAATAATCTAGAGATGACAAAGTACAGGATTGTGTAGATTATATGCAAATACTACACCATTTTATATAATGGGCTCAAATATCCATAGATTTGGGTATCAAAAGTTTTGATATTGAAATGTGGAAGAGATCCTAGACCCAATTCCCCACGAATACTGAGGGATGGTCAAGTGAACTCAAATTGGGGGAGTAGAGATATGTCACATGTTTTAAATTGAAATAATATAAGGAGAGGTCTCTTTCACACACACACACACACAAAAAAAAAAAAAAAAAAAAAAAAAAAGGAAAGAATACTGTATAAGAGCAACAGATAAATACCTAAAAAGAATACAGATGCTCTTTCCTTTAAAGAGTCCCAGATCCCCTGACAGGGTAACAAATGTTAGCCTAACATTTCCTTTAAGAACAGATTATTATAGGAAAGCAAAAAAAAAAATAGAGTTGTACATTATAAATTGGTCACTGTGATGCTTACATAATATATCAAAAATAGTGGTAAATGGGAAAATTCCAAAAATGTATCCATCCAAGGGATATTAGAATGTCCCATCTTTACTGTGTTCTCCTGCAGAGCTCCAATTCATCCTTCAAGCCTTAGCCCAAAGGTTGAGAAACCAATGTTGAAACTGCCAAGAAGCAACCAGTATCTCCTTTGTGCTCTCTGACACCCAGCTCATGGCTTTGAAATAATAGTTCCCACTCCTTAGGGATCATTTACACTTGGCTGCTTCCACTCCCTCAAGAATGTAAGGAGTTTAACTTGTTCCTGTATTCTTGGTGTCTAGCACAGGGATTGGACATCTATCTATTTAATAAAGCTCTGCCAAGATTTTTTAAGAAAGCTTATCATGTGTCTGTACATGTTTTAAAGACTATATAAAAATCAACGAGTCACTTCTACAAATATGAAGTAGATATCCTTTTGCTAAGTGTACAAAAAGCCTGGATACTATATATACAACAAATGCAAGAAGACTCTGAATGGTGGAGAAAAGGCGGAAAACAGGATAGGGGCCACAGGACCCAAGAAATAACACTGGGATGTGTTCCCTGAGTTATCTTTTAGCTCATATATCTCAGACTGGAAGCTGAAGAAGTCAACAACCTGCAAACAACAAGAGCAAAGGGGAAAAAGAAATGTCCCATGAGAGGCCTGCTCTCTTGCCTGCCAATGGGCAAAAAAATGGGTAGCCTAGCATGACATGAAACGAAAGTCATTCTGCTCCAATGAAGCAACCACAAAAAGAACCGTGGTCCCCCCATACCAGCAAGGGCTTAGTGGGGAGCCCAGACTTCCAACCTTGACAAGATATAAAGAGGTGTCCCAGATCCCCTGACAGGGTAAGGGTCAGGGAAAGCTGAGAATAGCGAATTGGGTATTTCATCCTTACCTGGTGATAATGAAGTCATTTCCTCCACCCCAGTCCCAAAGTGTAAGTGGAGACCATGTGGGAGCAGTTAACAGGTGCCATGCACATCTCAGTCAAGAAGGGATCAATAGAGAGCTAATGCAGAGCCAAATTCCCACCTTATTTATCTCCTCTCACCTCAAGTGTCAATGGAGGCTGAGTGGGGAACCTGGAATCCTAGCCATACCTGGTAATATGAAGGCAGTGCCCCCAATTTCCCTGCTAGGATGCTATCAGAAAAAAAAAAAAAAAAAAAAAAAACCCTAGCAAAAACAAAAAGTTCAAATAAGATCCACAGTCTTATAACAGAATACCTAAAATATATAGGTTTCAATTAAAAACTATTAATCTTACTAAGAAGCAGGAATTTTTTTCGAAGTTAAAAAAAATAGATTCAAACACTGCAATGACAAAGATGTTGGAATGATCTGATGAGAATCGTACAGCAGCCAACGTAAAAATGCTCCAACAAGTAATGAGAACACCCTTGAAACAAACAAAACAAAACAACAACAACAAAAACAGAAAATCTTAGCAAAGAAATAAAAATTCTCAGTAAATAGAAGACATAAAGAAAAATCAAGTAGAAATCTTAGAAGTAAAAAAACACAAAAGGTGAAATGTAAAAATCAATGCATAGGCTCAACAGCAGAATGGATTAGGGTGAAAATGAATCAGGGAACTCTAAGATAGAAAAATGGAAATAACTAAATCTGAACAATGGAGAGAAAATTAGACTGAAAAAAATATACATTCAGAGCTTTAGGAAACTGTGAGACCAAGACAAAAACCAATTAAACTAAGTTATTAAATTAAAATTTCAGTTGCAATTTATATTATTTGAAGGTCTTTGCAGTTCATTCCTAGGCAGTTGAAGAATGATTATCAAATGTAGGACACATACAAATCTTTGGTGTACTAATATTATACCTAAATCGAACCCAAGTAGCCTAATGTAGTCTTTGAAGTTTCACAGTTGGAATGAAAGGTTATTGCCAAGTAGTAGGAAAATCAAGTTCATTTTGTCATTTATGGAGCTTCAAAACGAACAGCTGAGCACAGAACAGCTCTGTAGCTGGTAGTCATTCTTGCGTACACAGGAAAACATTCCTACCTTCTCTGTGAAAAATGTCACCTTCATATACTCACAAATTCTCTGAGGTTTCACCCAGATAATACTCAATTTTAACAGTCTTAAAGAACCACATTTAGGGCTATTTTCAGCCTCTGTTAATTATGAACACTATGGAAATATTTTTTTTTTGTACAAGCATAGAGTAAAATTTTAAAATTGGTAGATATACCAAACTCACAGGTGTTAGAGAGACCTTAAATATAAAGAAATACAATCACAACTTTAAAAAGCCACAAGATTAATTAATTTGTTTTTGAGGGAGTATAAAGAAAAGGAAGAAATAGGACCTCAGAAATATTTTGATTTCCACTATTTTTTTTTTGTTTAAAACTAAAAACAAAGAAACTCCAAATGAAAAGGAATCTAGAGCCACTTGTAAATTCTTGTTAAGATACTAATGTAACATGGACTATGCCAATTCTATTAATTAGCCTAGTGTTTTCCAACACCATATTTATTACCAATAATATAATTCTACTATCTGGTGTCCAGACAATGTTCACAGCTATTTCTCCCTTAAGAGAAATAAAAGAGCAGTTTAGGTGTGGTCTGTCTTTGAACTTCAATAACACACATAGTTTCTGCACAGAAATTTCTGCAAGACACAATAGAAGCACTCTCCTGCTGCTGTGCTGAGTCCACAAGTTTCCCTGAGATGTCTGAATCACAGAGGATCCTCAGTTCCAACTCTGCTCAACAGTTTCCAAAAACAAACAAACAAAAAAAAGGAATAGCATGGATAGAGGGCTGTATAAAATATAAGATTGTCTCAAAAAGATTTATGGTGGTTTTTTTTTTTTTAATAAAAAAATCAGTCTTCTTGACTAAAGGTTGACAAATGTGTTTTCAACTTTAAAATGTCTGAAACTGGCTCTTTTCTTTCTTGATAGAAGCTGAGTCCAGTGATGAGTTCAACGTCTGTGATCCGGGCTCTGTGCAACATAAACAACTCTTCAATCCATGAGGGCTCAAGCTTCCCGTGCTATGAGGATGGAAAACAAAAGGAGAATCACCAACAACACTCACTTCGCTTTTCCAATAAGATCTCCCATCTCCCCAGCTTAATCAGTTGGGATGTTGCAGTACTCCGAAATGGCAGATGCCATATGATATTAGACAGAATCCCCACTGTTGAGTAGCTTGTCTTCTAATATTTATATCTATCAAATATATAGATATCTAATATGTATATCATATTTGTTCAACTAGTTGTATCAAATTTGGAAAAAATAAAGTAGGCCTGTAACACATGCTTATATATTGCATAGATACTGCAAGAAATGTCACTCATGTGGTGTGGGGTTTCAGAGGATCAAATTTAATACCCTGATGAATAGCTGGCTAAAGGAGACCATGGATAAATGAGTGAGTGCAACACTCTCTCCTGCTGAGCTCACAGTGGGCCTCAACATCCTTTTGACCACGGAATTCCAGATATCAACCACACCCACACCCACACCCACAGGGTCTGGTATGAAAGTCAAAAATTCTTGCCAACTCAGGTCTGGATTTACGTTCTGTAACTTCAGTGAAAGAAAAAAAAAAAAAAAAAAAGACCTAGGGGGTTGGGAGGGCAACTCAGTAGCACAGTGTGTGTTTAGTACACATAGTGTCCTGAGTTTGATCCCAAGCTCCACAAAAAAGAAAACAACCTCGAAACACAAAAACACCCCAGGAAATGTGGGGAGTACTCTTCATCATTTGGAAACACTTACCAATTGTTAACATGTGTGCCATTTTAATTTTTAAATCTACAATTTAGAATTCTAAAACTCTAAATATAAAATGGTTTCCAAACACTGGAATGACAACACAACAGGAAAGGAGATTTTCATAATAAAGTTATATGTAGACATTTATTTGAAATGTCTAACCACAACGTTAAGACTAATTTATAATAGTGCTGAAAATTTTTATAAAACCAGTTTTTAAGTAAAAAAAAAAAATCACATTTCATATAAACTTAGAATTTGGTGATGAGACCATGTGAAGTTTGAGTCCAATCTGATTCTGAGTGTCTTTAGCAGAGAAGGTGAACTTCTTCAAAGACCTGTCATCTTAGAGGATCAAGAGGAAATTTCAAAGTCCACATACATTTCAACAGTTGTGTTTTTCTCCACAGTTGTCTGATGTAAGACATGCATACAAACATACACACAAGCTTAATATTCAATATGCAAAAGAGATTAATGAAGGCTACTTACCGCACAGCTCTCGCTGTTGTCAGGCCTGTGAGGCAAAATGAAAGCTAAGGTATCTAAGTTTTCACACTGCAAGGGATCCTGGTATTTATTTTTACAACTGGTTAGCACAATGAAGAAGTGAGTTGGAATCAGAATTTCTTGATTACGGATGACTTTGATGTTTCTGTAAAATATGCCAATATTCACTTTCAGAAGGAAATAATGATCTTCCTTTTAATGAGCACTTTGATAAAACATGTTCTAACAAAGCACATTTAAAACTAAAATTCAATTAAATTATTTATAAGAAGTTAGGTAATCACAGTGTCTGAATATATTCTATTGATTGAAACTAATAATTAGAAGACCCAAATAATTACTTTCTATTGAAATTCAAATTATTTTTTTCAGTTCTACCTAAAGACACTTGAACTGAGATGCTAAAGGAAACAAAAATATTTTTGAACACCTACCAACAAGATTCATACGATTACTGGCAGTTCTCAATAGGTCTTGAAGTTATGAACAAATAGACTAAGACACAGAGGTAACAGGTGAGGAATTTTTTTTTTTTAATTCTAGTTCCTTCAGAGAGGACATGGAGTCATGCATTCTCTTTTGTTTTAACTGGATTTTTTTTTCTTACCTTGAAACTTAATTTTTTAAAAATTGCCACCTATTAAGATATTTGAAGCAAAATCTTTAACTTATCATGATTCTCCTATTTCCATTTCTTTTTCTTTTTGCAGTGCTGAGATTGATATTTCCTTTGGTTTTAAAATTGTGGGATTTTTTTCCAGCATCTTTAAAAGTTTAAGGTAGTGGGATGATTATTTTCGAATATGATATTACATGGAATCATAATATATAAAACAGATTAGAACATAGGGCTCTGGTGAAAACTATGAATAGGAAACTATGAAGGTCTCTTTCTCTCTATTGCTATGAGCTTTGAGGCTGCTTATGTGGGACTTTCATGTATCAAGTTATATAGTAACAAAATTGCAATTTTGCAGACTTGATATGATCCCAGATAAATATGGGTAAATAGCAACCCCTAAGTCAGCCTGGGAGAGTAGGAAAATTCTTCCAAGAGGCCAAATCTCAGTGGAGTCTTCAGTCTTGTGATCTTGAAAGCAAAATTGCTCCCCCAAATCTTGTAATTATTCTTTAAAAAAAGATAACTAGCTGGGGATCACTGGCAAAGCCATGGGTTTGACCCCTGGAAATGAAAAAAAAAAAAAAGACTAAAATGTTTTCCCATCTCATTTTATAAAAACAGCACCATAAGGAGCTGCTCTATCATTGCCCTCCAGTCAGAGTTGCCTAAGAGCTGTGACCTTAACCCAAACCCACCAGACTTGAGGCACCATGGTTTTACACCCCTGGCCTCAGGGTATCTGCAGCCACACCATTCAGTTCTTCATCTTCTGCCTGGGAGTCTATTTATTAAGATAGTATCTTAACATTTCACTACACAGAGATCTTAAATACTGAGTTCAGCATTGAAATTGAGCCCAGTAATTACTGATTTGAATCAAAAGGGGGGGAAAATATAAGTTCTCTTATCTAAGAACTATTTTGCTGAACACTGAGCAAAACATCAAATCAATCAGAGATTTCAAGAGCTTTCAGTGTAGCCAGAAGAGCCTTGTGAGTAGATGTGAATTATACTAGAGAGGAAGGGTTCTGTTACCTCCACAGGACAGTAATCTCCACTGACAGCTATTTTTAAGGTAATAAAATATGTTCTTACTGCTTCAGAATCTCTGTGGAATCATAATGTCCATCAAAATCAAAGTCGAACACAGGACCGCTGACGACGTTGATGCCATTCCTTTCTTCAGCATACCTTTGCAGGAGGGTGTCATGAAAGTAGCGCCATATGACTGAAACAAGGCAGATGATAGAGTTTAAAAAAAAATTGTATGCCACATGTGAAATCAGTTCACATGATGATTCAAAATTAATGATTTGCTATAATTAGAGATAAAGTCAAGTTTGACTTAAGTCTTAAATGTGAGCTCCAAAATCCATTGTTTGGCTTTAGTCAAAAGCTGAATTCAATTCTATTTTGGGCATCCCTGCATGTGTGCACTATAATGAACCATTTTGATTATATGTCATGGTTAAATATAACAACATTACAAACACCAAGTAAATTATTCAGATTTATTATAAATATTGAACTATTCACAAGTGTTATAGATCTAAATTAGAGTAAAAATCCCCATATATGCTCTATATTTTGATATTTTACAGAGCAGTTAAAGTACGAATGTATATTTACTCTGCAGGAGTCAAGCCACAATGGCTAATGATGATATGAAGTACATTTTAAAACAATAACAATTACCAAGAACTTTCAAATAGTTAAAGAGAGAATCAGACTGAAAGTTAATATAAGTATTAGTTGACTGTATTAGGTAGATAACTTTACGAAAAACTTTATATACTTTTTTATGTTAGAATTAAAGCACTTTTATTTTCTAGGTCAGAAAATTTGAAAGAAAACAAAAGAAAGCAAAACCTAAGTGTAGTACATATGATTAATGTTTATCTTATAATTTCTTGCTTTCTTTCTCTGTATATTGTAAACACTATTCTTCGTGAGTAATGTAGGTGTCATGTTGGAATAAAAAAGATTGAAATCAATTGAAATATCACCATAACATGTGTTGACGATACTAGATAAAAGGAAAAAGGACTCTGATTCTATTTTAAGGAAGATTTGATCATTTCTGAGGACACCAAAAGATTGTTTTGGTTTAGTATTCTTTATGAAACCCAACACAGCCTAATCTCATATCTTTTGGTAGGGTCCCCAGAAACTCTGCTCTAGGCTAAGGTGGGGAAATCCCCCATCTTTTTTTACATACTTTTTATAAACATAAAACAGCATAGTCATTAAAATATATCATAATTCTAATTTTTTGAGTCCTATAATTCTCAAAATCAAATAAATCTTTAAGAATGTATTTGATATTTACTCATTTAATTTAGGCCATAAATCCTATTATATTCAGACTATACCTTTATGTACTGAATTTATAAAATATAAAGCTTTTTACCTTGAAAACTCTGGTACATTGGCACTATATTAGTAGTTAGCAAAGCTTCAGAATATATTTGACTTGACTCTTTATTTAATTCTAGAAGGAAAAAAAAAAAGGACAACTTTTTCATCCTACACAAATAACATTCGAAATTATAGTTTCCCCTAGGGGTGACATTTAAAAACATAAGCCAAGTATCATCTTAAACCTGTAAAACTTCCCCAGGTACCAAGTGAAGGGGAAATGTAATGTATCTGGTCAAGTCCCTTAAAAAAAAGTTTTTATATTTTTTTCCCTTTTCAAGATGAATTTATCCAAAAAGCAGAAACTTACTAGAAGAGCCTCAGAGTAAACATATGCCTATTTCTACTAAAGTGAATTGTGTTTATAAACTTCTTTCCTTAAACATTTTCATAATCAAAGGAAAAAAAAAAAGACTCTGACTTCATAACAACACCTACTACCCAGAAAAAAACATCATGGGCGGTCTTGCGGGCTGTCTGCCTCAACCTGCTGGACAAGGCCGCCTTGTGTGAGCTGCAGCCTTGGCTCCGGTCTCTAGAAGGCAACAGCCAAGTACTGACTACAGACATTCTGGGGACCGGACTGGATGCTGAGGGTATTTGAGCACCTGAATGAAGTCTTCTGATTTTTACCTTTTAAGGTTGTCTCTAAAAAAAAAAAAAAAAACCAAATTTGGCACTTCAAAAGTCCATTCCCGAGGAGGCTCTGCAGCAGTGAACAAGCAGGCATTTGGAAGGCTCCACCTTTACCTAATTCTTTGACAAATCACACTTTATTTTCAATCAATACAGGTATATCTCCTTCCTAAGAACCCGAGGCCGATTTCCAAGGTCCACTGCCTATCATGTTTGAAAGATTTCTTACCACCCATTTATTTATTTTGTTTATTTATTTGCTGGGGATCAAACCCAGGGCCTTGCGCATGCTGGACGAGTGCTCTACCACTGAGCTACATACACCGCCAGCCCTGTATGAAAAATTAATAAACAAGAAGACAAAAGAAAGCAAGAGAAGAAAAGGGAAGGGCAGGAGGAAGATACTTACGTGGTGGGGCAAGGAACCCATAACTCAGTTTAGCGTTGTTTTTATAAAAGGAACATTTGTGGACAGGACTAAGAGAAACCCGGAAGTCCTTGAAGAGACAGTTGGAAAAGTCTTCTGTAGAGAAACTGTCCTGAAGAACCAAAGGAAAAGAACCATCAGGTACAGGGCACAGGAAGAGAAGAAAATCCCTGGGTAAATAGTGAGAGGTGAGCTGCGGTTGGCTACCTGTCAGTTCACATCCTTCCCTACTTTCTATTTTCCTCCTGGTATAGTCATCTTTTTTCTAACTGAAGCACAAAGATTCTTTACACTATTAAGGACACTGTCCGTCAGAGATGTGCAAATATCTTCCTATTCTGCTCTGCTCATTTTGTTTATCATGTTTTTATCTAAACAGTTTTAGAGATTGGAGTTGGTCTTCCATTTCCAAGTATGCAGCCAAAAATTGTTGGGAGATGGTAAGAGAGCCAGCAAGGGAGAAACCTCAGGAGCAGCGATGTCTGAATTCACACAGATTCAATGACATCGCAAAACTAAAAAGTTCAAAGAGAACCAACAACCTCCATAATTACAGTACTAAACAACAATAGATAGGATAGGGTGCCTACAAAACAGGGTGCATGCTGTATATTATGAAGTCATATTTAAAAAGTGATTAAAGGCAGTCTTTGAAATTAAAAAAAATGAAGTTCAAGATACTTTATATAAACACATAAATATGTGTGTATATTATATATCATGTGTACTCCAATGCCCTATCTTTGTACTTACTTACCTCAGGATTAGTTATACTTTTATTAACTCTCACAACTCTTCTCAATGAAGCATTCTTAAATCCCTTTTCTATCCCTTAAGAGCATCCATCCTTACAGCTGACCAATCACTCTTGGAAAGTCTGGTGAGTCTAGCTTAAAATTAATACCAGGTAAGACCTCCTTCCCTGTTCTCTCTCTTTCTAGGACTCCCCCATCACATTCTCTTTCCACCATGGCACTGGAGCAAGGGGAAATGGTGGTCTTTTCCTGGGATATTTGCCCTAACTCCTTTCTACACCCAACTTATTATGTGTTGGTAGGACAGGGAGAGGTGTCTGGCATCTTCCCCTCCAGATGGCATGCGTAGCAATGGGACTGAGCTTCCATGGCTACCCCATCAATGAGGACCCCCTATGATGTGGGCAGTTGAGGGAAGCACTTGTGCCCATAAGCTGTGTATTTAGAAATGAATAATTACGACTAACTTTAAAACTGATTTTATGAAATTATAAATCAGAATCATAAGTTAGCAAAACCAGGAGGAGATAGGCAAAGAAGAATCCTGTGCTGTATATACCTTATTTCACAGATGTCTGCTCTAAATGCATGTCAAAGTCATGTAACTTGTTAGTGGCAGAATTAGAACTGAAATTTAATTTATGTGACTTCCTGTTCAGTATTACCCTCATTCGGGAAAAGATAATAGAGAGTAACAGTGAGAAACTATGCTTTTAATGTTTTGCTTAATAATTTGAAATAGGTACACATAGTGAAAGAGGGAACAAATACTTGCATTTCTGTTGACGGTATAGGATGTCCAGAGGGGCATGAGGAGGTCATGGCTGTATCCACTCACAAACTGGTGCTGATAAAGAAGACAGACACTGTTTTTCTTCTGAAGAAGTCTGGGTCTTCCATATGGTAAAGTGCCAAGGTTGATATTCTCCTCTAGGATCATAGAAGGAAAATGAGATCACCATTTAAATATAATTAGTGTGCATTATATGATGATATGTGATGATACACCCATCTAACCCTTTCCTCTATTTAAGCATGTTGAAAAATTATTTTTAACTGCAAAACAACAATGAATTACAAAGAGCAGAAACAAACATTTGAAAAATGTGGTCCACTTCAATTTTTGCCTATATAGATCAATGTGTTATCAGCGTTATCACTAGAGGATAATATATGAAATTGCTAGGCATTCCAGCTAATTAGGACTTATAGTACCCAAAATATCTTCATTATTTTAATGACATACTGCAGAAAGCATATAAGGAGACTTGGAACACAAAGGTTCAGAACTGAAATTATGAGTCTAAACCCAATGGAACAATAACAATATAGATAGTTTCTATTGCCTTTTTCTGAGTGTCAAGGGCTCTATAGAACTCTTTTATATCAACTAGTTAATTCTCACATCTCCCTATAAATTAACATTATACACTTATTTTACAGATGAGGAAACAACAACTTATAGGAAATAAAATTTTTTTTCGATTTAGACAGTTCCTAAATTTATATTCAAACTCAGATCTGCCTAATGCTCAAAGTGCCATCCTTCAGCACAATACTTTACCACCTGGGGGATAAAAAGGTGTTTCTAATTCTGTTATGGTTTAGATACTAGTTGTCCCCAAAAGCTCATGTATGAGACAATGCAAGAAAGTTTAGAAGTGAAATGATTGGGTTTGAGATCCCTAACCTACTCAGCACATGAATCCCTTAATAGGGATTAACTGGGTGGTAACTGTATGTAGGCAGTGTGTGGCTGGAGGAGGTGAGTCATTGGGGGTGTGCCTTTGGGGTATATATTTTGTTCAGTGTGTGGCTGGAGGAGGTGAGTCATTGGGGGTGTGCCTTTGGGGTATATATTTTGTTCATAGCAGAGAGCTCTCTCTCTCTGCTCTGTTCCCAGCTGTTTTCCTCTGCCGTACATTTCCACCATGCTGTTCTGCCTCACTTCAGGCTCCTGAGGAATGGATCTGGCCATCTATGAACTGAGTTCTCTGAAACAGTGAACTCCAATGTTTACAGTTGCAATTTTATATAGACAAGTTCAAGTCAGGATTAATGCAGAATTTACCTCTTTATTCCAGTAGGGCAAAAAGAAAAAAAAAATGTGAGCCAGCCCAGTAACTTAAAGATCTGCCTATGAACATCCAAATCACAACAGAAAAATGTTATCAGCTGCTTACATGTTCTTAATTTTCATTCAAAAGTTGTGAAAAAACAACCCATCAATCAATTTATAATCTCTTAGAATTAAGATCCATGTAAGACAGAAACTTAATAGGTATTTTAAATGGAAATCTGGGGCTCTACTCTAAACCTAGAAAAATCCTCAAAACGCTTCCATAATTTCCCTAAAGAGAAACTCAGCTTCCACTAAATATGTGATATACCATTTCCACTATAAAATATCCCTTCTTCCATTATAACTAATAGCTTTGACTGTCAAGCAGAGAAATCTCTGTTTTCATCAAATGGTTTTCCATCATTACCTTTATTGTATTGGATAGTCTTAAATAATGCCCCCAAACCAATTTTCTGTGGTTCACACTATTGATAAAAATCCTGCTTTCACACTCCAGGCCGGCAATTAACGTGTCTTACCTTCTGCCATGGTCATATTAAACTGTATCTCGAAATCCACAATTGGCAGAATCTAAAAAAGTTTATAAAACTCTTTTTAAGGATTGAGAGACATATTTTAATTTCATCAACATACAACTTCTGTAGCTTAATTAACACAACACAAAGATAAAATGAACATAGTCCTCTGCATGAAAAGTTTTCTTTAATGGGGGGACAAAGGAAGAGGAATAACAGAGGCAGCAAGACAAAAGTGTCAGCACAACACTAGTGATTGAAAATAATAATATAAAATCTGCTTTAGAATTATGGTCTCTTCCTCAGCTGTCTTTCTTCAAGCCTAAATCAAATCTAACAAAATGGACAGCACAAAAGAAACTACTCCTCCAACTGTCACCTTTTATGAATGTTATCAATGTGGCTGACAATGACCATGTATTTTTACCTTCTTAAAACAATGACAAAGATAGTTGATTAAAAGTAATTATTAAGGCATTTACAGCTTCTCTGAAGATAGGAGTAAAAGCGAAGCAATATCATCTACCTATTTTGTACCCAAAATATTACTTTCCCCCTAACATTTGTAATAGGTTGGGCTGTTTTTAGAGAAGGAACATTGGAATGGGTTTACTTTGTGCTTAAAACACCATAGCAAGGACAACAGCCCAGATTCCAGGATTCAGAATGCTCAAGGGCTCCCCTGAAACTCTCCCTACTGGTCCTCAACTCATCACAGCACCATGGGATCAAAACAGAGCTGAAAATGCAAATTAGGAGGAGGAAAATTAAATTATAAATGGGTCTTTATGTGTCCCTAGATTTAAAAATAAATAAATGTTTTCCTCTCACTCATAAGTTTAATTACATTGCTGACTATTTCTATAACACATGCTGTGCAGAGGGTGCCAGGAGCCCTTCCCTAGTGGGCTGGGCTTTTCAGCAATACTTACCGAGGAGTCGCAGGAGCAGCCAAGGTTATCTCTGGGGGTTCTGGTGAAGGGACACTGTACCAGGGGGTGCACTTCTTTAGGATGCTTTGGAGTATAAACAGGATTCTTCAGAAGATGGTTAAGACTTCCATGAGTTCCATTATTAGGAGCTGGAGTCAAATTCAGTAAATCTGCATAATGCCAAGAATGGCAAAGAATTACTTAGAAGTTTCAAAACCAAAGAGTAGACTTATGCTATATCATATATGTATGTTAGATACGTATAAATGAATCCTTTACTCTGTAACTAAAACTATAAAATTCTCTTGAGTTTTGAACTATTTATGACTAGTACTATTTTTAATAGAAATACTGTTACCTGTGCTCTATTTTGCTGTAAAATTTTCTGAATTTTAAGGTGCGTAATAACTATAGTCATCCTCTGTTGAATGCATATTATATGCCATTAGCTGTGCTAATATATTTTTCTACTTAATCTTCAAAACAAACAAATAAAATTACTATCCACATTTGGTAAATAAATAATCAAAGTGTTTTGCCCAAGTCCTAAAGGCTATTAACTTAGTAGATCAAGGATTCAAAACCCAGCTATTCCCGAGTCTAAGATTCATGATTTTAATAATAAAAACAGTGAACACGTATAAAGCACTTACTACATGCTAGGACCTGCTTTAAGTGTTTAGGATATATTATCTCATTAAATCTTACAGGCACCCAACTGAAAGAATTATCCTCAAGACAGTTTAAGGTTTTGTAAATGTAATAATATTTAACTTGAAATAATATTTAAAATCCAACATTCCACCATAAAAGCACTAATTCAGAAGCCACAGACTGAACAAAGGATATACTTAATGAATTTTCCCTTATGGCTACACCCTCCACATTGCCATCCACTCAACTATTACTGTTACCACAGGTTCCACCTGTCCTGCCCACTTTTCACTTCCCAACGCTCTCCTCCCTGGCTTCCACCACTACACTGACTCAAAATCATGTACTGAAACCCAGGACCTAGCAACGTGCAACCCAGAGTGCAGCCTGGTGGAAAAAATCAGATAAGTAATAAGATGTATGCTCTGCACATTTGATGAGCATTTCTGGGTCAGGAAGAAGAAACAGAATGGACGTGTCCACCTTGCCTCATCCTCTTCCCCAGAAAGGAGCTCACCATGTGACCTACTTTTGATAATCCTACTCCAGCTCTGTTTCCAGAAGGAAAGAAGCTGCCTATTCACACTTACCACACATTAAGTTATAGACTTCGATATTTTCAAAAGCGTCAACCTCAATGCCATGCTTGAATCCAGGTCCATAGCCAACAAAGAGTGCCTGGATTGGCCAGAAAAGTCAGCTTATCAGTACAGTTCAGTTATGTATATAGTTGGTCAGAAATTCATATTATTCACATTGTACATGTATAAACTGGTTATGTTATGACATGGGGAAAATACCATGCCCACTGGACTTGGTGGGATATTATTTTAGTCCTTGTTGCACATATAATCTAAGAATACTAAGACTATTTCTCTTAGTTTTACCATAATCCTCGACTTGATAGTCAACATAGAATGGATGATGAAATCTATTTTCTAAATATTTCTATAACACATGCCAGGAGCACCTGGCACCCTATGAAATTTATATCCTATTAAATAGGATATAAACCTCACCCTGTCTACCTCACACAGTGCTGCAGGCATTAAATTAGGTAAATACAATAAGTGTATTTTGAAATATAGAAGTACTAGGTAAACATAAGATACTATCATCTTTCGGAACCTAAGTGTGATACTTTTTCATCTATTAAATCACTGGCTTTCTTTTACTGTGGGGCAATATATTTCATGAAGCACAAATATATGTGAAATAATTATTAGAAATTTAGTAGGAGATATAAGTCATATGTCCACGAGACAAGAATATAAAATATTAACAAAATTTTTGAAGATCTGAAGAAAAATAGCTCTATGAAAATGTTGCATTAATTCTCATTCAAGACATATAATCCCAGTGTGTTTTTAAGTTTCAAACTTTCTGTTGTCAGTTTTTCTTCAGATTGAATGCTATTTTTTTAAGTATAAAAGATTTACTCACTTGCATATTTGAAAATACATTGTCAGAGCCATGAAATCCACTTCCACAATATTTCCTTTCTGAGGGATTCCTAATTTTGACAGATATGAATTAATGGTGTAAAGCCTATTCATGGAACATAACTGAAAGTCATGACATTATTTTCATAAGAAAAAAGAAACTATTTTGTTAAACTAACATAAAGTAAATAAAACCACTTGGCCTTGAAATGTTTGGTTTTTCTCATTTATACTGTATTACTTAGAGTTGATTTGTCCATGAAATAGACAAAAAAAAAAAAAAAAAAGACAGAGGTGAACAGCCACTAACATCAAGACAGAAGTGGTTTGAATCCTACTATGCCAGCTATGTTGTGACTTCAGATAATTTAATTACCTTCTCTTGATTAAAATTTCTTATGTTAGGTCATTTGTAAAAATGCAGTGACATAAAGAAATGTTTAGAATACAGCATTTAGAGACACTAAATATTAATCTTCCTATAAGGGTATGGATCATTCCCTCTTTCATATTCTTCTAAATAATAAAAACACAGTTCTAGTAAGAGTAGAGATGGTGTCATTGGGTTGAGTGGATTCTGGTCCACTGCTTAGGTTTTTATTTGACAGGGGTATGTGTCACAACTGGTTTCTTGCAGTCATCAAAATTGTGAGTAAATTTTGAGATATTAACAATATTAACTACCCAAATAATAAAGTGTTTTTATCAACTTCTTGTTGGACTTTGAAGTATTGTTAGATATAATTGCAATCTGTAAAAGAGATGTAAATAGCAAGTGATAATGTGAATATAGATAATAATAATTATCAATAGGGATGTGGGAGGCGTGAGCAACAGTTCCTCTCCCCCGGGGATTTATGGCAATGTCTGGAGACATTTTTAGTTGTCAGAACTGGAGAAACGGTGCTACTTTCATCTGGCAGGTAGAAGTCAGGGATCCTAATATTCCACAATACACAGGACAGCTCCCCACAATAAAACATTACCCAACACAAAATGTTTATAAGCCAAGGTTGAGAAATCCTGAGTTGAAGAGAATCATATTGTATTCACATATAAAGTGCCCAATGGTTACCTTGAAGTACTATACTAAGAGATCAGAACTTACAATGCAAGTTGCCACTGAGGATCCAAATAGAATGTCAAGGGTTCAATCCTGTCACTTTTGGCAAAGTGCAAACGCTTGGGTAAGAACTGTTTCAGGTAAGGTGTGAAGTGCTGGTTTGGTTCCCGGCACTAAATTTGCAAAAAGCAAAGGAAAATCTATTATTTCCATATTATCCAAAGTGCATATTTCTATTGAAATTCCTTCCTAACTTCATGTGAATTTTTTCTCCCATTGATTTTACCCATCTGCCTAAAAAGTCACAGAAAGAAAAATAATAGCTCTTACTGTTTGTATGATTTACAAGGTGACTATCGTAAGCTAGTTAAAACTTTTATAGGATATCATAATTATTACTGCATAAAAGCCTCAGGGCTCTTGGACTGTGTCACTAGATTATAGTTGAGTTATAACTGGTGACCCTAATTTCAAATACCTTGATAACTAATCGTAAGAATTTTCTTCAAGATATAAAATGGAGCAAGTGCAAAACGTAGCATAAATAAATTAGCACCAGGACAAAAACTTATTTTAAAAAATAAGCATTGAAAAAGAAGATGGGGACTGTGGGTATATCTCAGTGGAACAAGGCCCTGGGTTCAATCCTAGCACCACAGAAACAAACAAACCAACCCTACAACAACAAAAACAAAAAGCCTAAAAGGAAATATTCCATAATGCTAACAGTGTTTATGCTGGTACAGCAATAGGTTTTGCTTTCTGGTTTGTTTTTTTTTCCCCTTCAATTATTTCTGGTACCTTCATAAAAAGTTTACAATCCCAATAAACAAATTTTGAAAACTTTCAAACATAAGATTATTGAGACATATCCTTAAATATAAGCTTCTACATGCTGGCCCCCCAAAATACCCCAAAATTCAAATCCCATAATCCCAATTACAAATACTGAAACTTTTCTATAAATATACAGTACACAAATTAACAATAACTATAAAGTGGAATAATTGTACTCACAGAAAGATTTCTGGCAATGCCTTCATAATTAACTGAAGGGGAACAAACAAGAATTAACAGTTGTGGATATGCTACAATTACAAATAAAAAATAATACAAAAATGTAGAATGTCAGGTTCAAACCCTATATTTAAATACCAAAGCAGATTTCAAACAGTTTATTTAAGTCACTGTATATTCGTCATTGAAAGGAATTTAAGACAGATCCTTAAGTACTGCTCTATTATGGCACCCATGATATCATGTCATATTACTAAGGCAAATTATAGAACATCTATCCATCCATGTTGTTCATCTATATTCCAGTCCATTCATCCTTTTATTTATTCATCAGCATGTTCATCTACCTATTCATCCGAATATCTATTTATCTATTTATTTACAACCAATGTAGATCTAGTATGATTTTACTGTGTAAAAATTAAAATGTGTGTTTTATATACATATAGCAAACACTTGGGAAGACACATTCCAGACTTTACAGTAGTTGTCTCTAGAGATGGGAATTGAGTTGCTAACTAGGGGGATTTATGATGTGAAACTGTTATTCTTTACTTTGTATTTTTCAATATTCAATGATAATGGTAGAATTTCCAAGTAAGAGGGGCATAGGAAAACTTAGAAGAGAGGGCAAGTTTTAAAAACAAATTTACATAATAAGCCCATTAGGTTTATTAGGTATATTTGGTGCTACACATCAATAACCATTTAGTTTCCTAAATATTCTTTCATTTCTTCTTTGCATGTAAAGTTTGAGAAAATTATTCAGAAAAAATATACATTTTTGTATGTATAGAAATAAATTGATACATTGCTTTTGTTTTAATATGGGAAATTTGGGTATCTACCTGAGATAAGGTATGGCTAAAGCTAATTCCCAAAACAATGTCTGGGGACTGCTAATGCCTGTATGGTTTTTATAACAATCGTGCAGTTCTCCTTCAGTATCTGAGGGGATTTGTTTCAGGAGTTCCCCATGGCTACCTAAATCTTCGGTGAGATGCTCAAGTCTCTTTAGAAAAATGGAGTAATATTCGCACATAACCTACACACAACCTCTTACAGATTTAAAATCATCTCTTGATTATTTATCGTATCTAAAATAACTAAATGCTATCAACTAGTTGTTGTATTATATTGTTTAGAAAATAATTTCAAAACAATCTGTACATGCTTGGGAAAAAAAACAATTTTTTTCCAAATTTTTCAATCCATAGTTAGTCAAATCCACAGATATGGAATTCTCAGGTATGAAAAGCTGATTGTACTTTACTTTTCTAAATTAAAAAAGAATTAATTAAAACTTTTCATTGTGCACATGGAACCTGTGCTGTGTCACTGAGTTAATTTATCTGCATAATCATTTTCCTGTAGTGAAATCTATTTTTCTTCATTAATATTCAACAGTATCCACAGAATTCTATCTATTTATAGAGCCCAATCCTAACCTAATTCTAATAACTCTGAAAAGCTCATTTCTCTTCCCATTTCAAAGTTAATTAGATCAAAAGGATAAAATTTGCCATACATATCCAAAAGTTATCAAGGATGGTATTCAAGAGGCAAAAATAGTTACAAAATACGCTTGATTTACAAAAGAATAAATAACTTAATTTCTTGGTATTTTGTATTTCACATGTGGTCAAGTGAGAATATGAAATTTCTTTTCCTTCCCTGTTTTAAAGACTCATTGCTTTTTGGAATGGTTTATGTAATTTCTAAGGACTGGAACCAACTGCTTATAGAATTAACCATCTCCCTCAGCATTCCTCCTCATAATAGCATATTATACCAAAATGATGTAAGTTATTTTAATGAAGTGTCATTAAGCACCTAAATTCTAACAAATGCAGTTGAATTTTTCCTTTAAACTTTTTTCTAATCACAATCTTGAGCCTAGTACAAGTAAAATACAAACCACAATATGAAATGTATTAAGAAAATCAAATAATATGCTTAGCCTATGAATATTAAGTAGGTACACGTTGAACTTGTGTCCTCAAATCTAGTCTCATAAAATTTCTGTAAGTAGAAAAGACCTGTACTGCAAATTTAATTATTAAACTAACTGATTCTCTTCAGTTTACAGAAATAATGATTTAGAGTAATATATTCTTAACCATACTTACATGAATAGTATTTATCTGGGACATCAGAGGGTCTCAATCGAGGAGCAGGTCCATAAACAACTTTAATACTTTTAACATCCCCCAAATATTTATTCAGATATATATACTTCTTACAACTGCCTTGTTCCATGCCTAGGAGAAAGAAACCACCAAACATATTCTAACTTTAATAATAAATTTAATATAAAAGAAAACTTTCTTTTACTTCCAGAATTGAATTACATTTGAGTTTGACACTCCTATCAGTTCAACATCTGATAGAGAAGAAAACAGAAATTCAGCTAAATCCTCCAGTTCACTTTTTTCAAAATATTTTCCCTTTCCTTCACCAAACTAGTTTAATGTTTCTTCTTATCTCTGTATTTCCAAATCATTACGTGAGTAAAGAACACTGTCTTATCACAGTTTTAGACAGTTATTTGCCCAAAATCATCTAGTATTTTAATCTCACTGTGGGACTGAAGTTTCTTTAGCATGGAACTTCTTGGGACTGTTTATAAATATAGCTGTCTACAATTATTTCTGAAGTAAACAACAAAAACAAAAAAGAGCACACTTTTCTTTTTTAAAGAGAAATAGAGAGAATTTTTTAATATTTATTTTTTAGTTTTCGGTGGACACAACATCTTTATTTTATTTTTATGTGGTGCTGAGGATCGAACCCAGCGCCCCACGCATGCCAGGTGAACGCGCTACCGCTTGAGCCACATCCCCAGCCCCAAGAACACACTTTTTACTTTCTTGCATACTCACCATTTTCTTTTTTTATAGTATTAGGGATTGAACCCAATGGCACTGAGCTTTATACCTCTACATATATTTTTTTTTAATTTAAGACAAGATCCCCCAAAATTGCCCAGGCTGGCCTAGAACTTATGATCATTTTGCCTCAACCTCCCCAGTAGCTGGGATTATAAGCATGAACCATTACAGGAGCCATTACACCATAAATTATTTAGTCCTAGAGCTATACACAAATATGTCAAAAACATCACATTATTATGAAATTATGTCATCAAAATATATACTGCCTCTAAAGTCAGATTTCATGCTAAAGAAAACTAAATATGTACATGATAATGTGCTCCAGTTAAATCTAAAATTACAAAATTTAATAAAAAGTTTTTTTCCAACTCTTCAAATAGCCTGGTGTAGGATTTTCCAAAATCAGAAGCCAAGTGCATTTTGGCTGATGGGAGCCTATAGGCTTTTAAATTTCTGTGAATTCTGTGTCTATCATATTAGTGTAATCTTTTCTTAAAGACTTTCCATAAGAAAGTACATTTTGATCTATAACATTCATAGGAAATATGAAATAAAAATTAATCAAATTCACTTTGATTTTTATACCTTTGAACCTGAAGAGTAAATGATACAAATTCAGATTACTGAAGCCAGATTTAAAGTTAGGTAGTCAGTGTAGCTAGGTAAATCAGGTCTAATATCAAGTGAAATCTAAAATGGAGGCCGTGGAGGCCCTGCGGAGAATGACTCAGGGAAAACACAGGACAACTCATGGAATGTTAATGAAGTCCCGAAAAGGCCCTAGGCCAAAGTCCACCTCAAAGAAATGTTAATGAACAGCCCCCAGCAAAAAGGTGCTGACTCAGAAGTCCTTCCTGACCAGATTACTTCTTTGGCCCACCTGTGTCCCACCCCTCGGGCCTTCCCACCTACATTCCATCACTGAAAGAACTATAAAAAGGGGAGACAACATCCCTTCCATGGATTCCACCTCTTGGGTCCCCTTCTTCCTCCAGGAGAAGTCTTTTCTGCTGTCCTTTAATAAACTTCTAATTTCTACTCTGACCTTGCCTCGGCGTGCTTCTTTGGTGTTATTCTTCAACATTGGGGAAGCAAGAACTCGTCACCAGTCAACAGCGGTAACATTACCATGATCTGAAATAAGGATGAGGTTCAGGCATCTATGCAAATTCAGTCCTTTGAGACCATCCATCAGCATGCCAACCATGTTGTCGACCCTCTGCAAGGCTCTGATGACCTAAGGATGGGAAGCAAATCTCATATGAGCATTCCCTACTAATGATCATTTCTATAGAAATTTATGCCTATTAAAAAAAACACCAAGAAAAGAAAAAGAATAGTGGATGTAATTATGATAAACTAGTTCATGTTAGACTAGCACAGGTCAAGATCAAAGAAATGGAGAACAGTAAACACCTGCTAATGTTAACACTGGGAGGGTCCAAATTCTGCATTTGCTCAATCACAAGTTTGGGAATGACATTAGCTGTTCTGATTAATTTTACCTCCTGGAGATTCAAGAGCTACTACTTAGAAGAAACCCAGGTGTCAAACTAATACTAGCTCAAATCTAGTGTTTGGCAAGAAATCACTGTATTCTTAATTACTACTTCATTTTTTTTTACAGTTTCTTCATGTACTTTCTGATCATTTAAATGGTCACTGTTTAAGTAAAAGTTTTTCTAACTTTCAAAAGTGTTAAAATTATTCATGATATGCTTCTTATGCATTTAAATTTTTTAACTTGGAACTTACAAGTTAAAAAATTACTTATCTCCATACAAACTGCATTCATATTACATAAGAATAATTCAAGGACACAGAATGGCAAAGGTTCTCGGCATATCACTTTCTGGCATTGTTCTTTTCCTCTCTCTTGGTAAAAGCATGTGAGGAAAGTTCTTGTGCAGTTTTTTGTGTTTTCTATAATATATCGAATCAGTTTAATCTTCATTTATAGTCAGTATATTTCACTTTAATATGAGACAAGTTCTTCCAAGCCTTTCAAAGATATCCAGGGACTGAAGTTGTGCTCTTGCCTATATTTTATATATATAAATATAATGTACTTTCTTATGGAAAATCTCTATATAGGCAAATACGTATATTCCAAACAACATAAACTGAAATTTTTAAGTATTAAAAATATTGAGATGCCCATAATAAACAGAGTTTAACAGAATCAACAAATTAATAAGTAAGACTTGAAGAGCAACAGGTTCAACCTTGAAGGAAGATGCATCAGGAAAGCTTGTACTGTGCAAAATTATTAGTAATCAGAGCAGCACCAACTCTAAAACTTACCTAACTGGACAAACAATCACAAAATGAGTCAGAGTATTTTATAGTCAAAGATCTAGACATGGGTCTTAAGTGCCAGTGACCACAGTAAAGGAGTAAAAAAAAGCACACTAGCCCCCTGGTTAGTTTTTCAAATTTTAGAAGGAGTTACGAGAAATATTTCCTTTAGGCCAAATATGACATGGCTACATAGTTGGGCACTCATCTTCCTTACCCCACCTGTAGGAAAAAGCAATTCTGCTGAACTATAGAACAGACTCAAAGGAGGGCACAGTGGGATCATTAACTACAGTGGGGCTGCCAGGATGGAATTTGATGGAACGAATACAAAGGATAGAAACAGACCTGGATGAGATCATCTTCCCCTCCATTTCACTCTCTTTTGTATGAGATGAAAAGCAATCTAAGCAGTAGTACCTACTCATTAAGAGGGGCAAATTTAGGACAGATGCAGGGTCAGTCAAACTAAGGGAAGGTAGTTTAGGCAGATGTTCTAGAGTCAAGTGAGAAAATGGGCATTGTCTTTTCTCTTTCTTCCTCCACTGTTACAGAAGTAAGCATTGAGACCAAGTAGTGCCCTCAAAAACAGAATCATAATGAACATGTCAGGACAGGCTTTCATTGAGACCCTGTCATGAAAGTCCTTAAGGTTTGCAAACTATCCAACCTGTGCCACCTGGGTAAAGGAACTGATATAAATTTGTTGGGAAAACCGAAGCTATTAAAGAAGAGTGTGTTTATAGTTTCTTATCCCATGGAATCACAGGAGGCAAAGGTAAGTAAACTGGGATTTTGAAATAAGGAATCCTGGCAATAACTCTTTTCTCTTTTTTTGTGACCAACAATTCTCACAGATCCTTACTTTTCCTTTGTTTTTATATCTTAGGTCACAGATAAATATTAGAAGGAAAGTCAATTTAGAGATGCAAAGAAACTCAAATCATTTTTCTATGCTAACACTTTCTGTGCTCCAAGATATAAAAATGGTGTGGCCACATGAACTCTGAAAGCAAGAAGTGTTTTAAAGCACTGTACAGATGACAAACATAGACAGGAGCTGGCTAAGATCCTGAAAGGAGGTCAGGTCAAATAGTCACACTACGAGCATTAGTCCATGAGCTGGTCTCTTTAGTTTCCTGGCATCCATCAAATAAAATATGATTATGTGAATATCTCTATACATTTGATAAACCCTTCCCATCCTTAAGTATTCAAGCTCTGTTTTAAGCCTGATGGTCTCAGCAGCTAGGGACAGAGCTCCCAAGAAAAAGAGTTCAGAGGAAGCCTCTCCTTTTTAACCTGTTGCCCTATATTTTCATGAAAATTTGGAATTTTACCTGCTTATAAAATTCTTATAAAGCACTTAGCTTTTAGGCCAAGAGAGAAGGATATGGAGTAAATAAAGGCTTTGGAATAAAAAATACAGAATTTAATTCATCAGTTCAATTTTGCACTGAAGAAAATACAAGCAGAATAATTTTCCCAAGTCTTATTTTGTTGAAAGTGTACTATTTGGTTTAGTAAAATTATTGTGCATGATACTACTCACTCTTTCCAGAAATCATAGGGTCTTAGGGAATGATCTAGAATTCTGCTTCAAAGGTTTGGTTAAATGAGACTAGGTTTAATGGTGTAATCACTGATAAAAAATGTACTTACTTCACTGCTGACTGGTCCATATGAATGGCCTGAAGAATCTGGTTCTTCTAAATACAGAGTGTAAAAGTGTGGTCTAAATCAAACAGTATCAAAATGTAATATTTTACGAACACATTGAAAAATAGAATGGAAAGAATATTTCAACAATTAATAGTGATTAAAAATTCTACAACACTGAGGTAACATTTCTAAACTTACTAAAAATAATTTACAGGTTTGGAATTCTTCAAAATGTGACCATAATAGTTTATTAAAGAGTTAATTTGGATCTAAAACATTAAAACCAATAGCCAGATTTTACTGTAGTCTATTTTTAATAAGTATGTAATTTCTATTATACAAAAGAGTATTTATTTATTTATTTATTTAAGGTTCCAAGGGTTGAACTCAAGGGTACTCAACCACTAAGCCACATCCTCAGCCCTATTTTGTATTTATTTAGAGACAGGGTCTCACTGAGTTGCTTAGTGCCTTGCTTTTGCTAAGGTTGGCTTTGAACTCTCAAATCCTCTAAGCCTCCTGAGCAGCTGGGATTACAGATGTGTGCCACCACAACTGGCTAAAGGAGTATTCATAATAGAAATTAACTTTCTACATACCTTTCATCTCTAGGAAGCTGTAGCCACTGAAGAACAGCTAAAATTCTTTCTTCAAATGGAATGGAACTAAAATTAAGGAAGAACACAACGAAACAAATCTGTGAGAAATGTGTGGATTTAAAATAAAATAGCATTAAGGAATACTAAAACAAGGCAAAGCATTTATTGTGTTTGAAGTTACAGAAAGCTTTTAATCGAAAACTTCAATTTTTTTCCAATGAAGGACTAAAATTGAGCTTTTATATAAATAAAAGTGGTAATTTGGTTTAAAAATTTGCTTCTCCTCCTCTACTGGAGGGTATTATTCATGTATCTGGAAGCAGGCATTGTTTACTGCACAGATATCAATGCATTAATACAGTCTACAAAGGACACCTCAGGCAGAGCTCAGCCACAGATGACACTTAGTACAATTTGGATTAAGGCATCTGATAAGCAAATAACAATTATCCAGGCAACATCTCTTTAGCAGAGTTAATTATGCCTTCCTATGGGCTTTGTTGACAGAGCTCCATCAGTGTGCTTGCCCAACCGCAAGAATAGAGCTTGAGAAGCCAGAGACCATGAATTCCCCATGCTAGTACAGTACATGGCACATCCAATCTTACTCGCCATCTCCATTTCATTTATGGGATGAAAACATTGGCAAATAACAAGGTCAAGGAAAGACACTACACTGTACCCAGGTGAACCGTGAAGAATACATAGCAATATTACAAAAGAAACTGCTATGCCATTTTTGTTTGGGATTTATGATCTTTTCTGTTTGCCCTATTCTCCATCTCAGCTCCAAATATACTGTATTGATTTTTCAATAAAAACCAGCCAAGAATCTTCCCTTAATTTTTTTTTTTTTGCCTTTTCTGAATATATTGTGAATTTTGGATATCATGAGGAAGTTATCCTAATCAGATTCTTTCACTGGAAAGCATATTTATTGAAGTAATTTAGAAAGGGAAATTCAGAGATATCATGAATATTTTCTTTTAAATAATATTTTGAACATCAGGGAGTCATTCCTACCAATGTATTCTTTAATGCATCTGCCTTTTCTATTTCCAAGTTCTTTTGCTTCCTAGGGTTAAAATGTTTAGTGTCTCCATTCTTCAGATCTGTACACAACACTCAAATGCTAGGGCTTAGGATTCCATTAGGGGCGGGGCGGGGGGGGGGCGATGAGAGAAAAAATGAGATGTTCTGTCTTGCAAAGTCCTAGAAAAAGTTCGTTTACACATACCCATTATATACTTTGTAGATATCTGGGTAAATTCCTTTAATTGTCACATCGGATCCTGGCCAAAAAAATGTGCCAGACTTGAGGCCTTGATACTTAGCTGTGATCCAAATCTGGGGAAGAAAATGAAGGAAAGTTAGGAAATCATGTGAACATTCATCTTTCAGGAAGGAGAGCGTGTTCCTGCAACACTACGGTATCCTTCTCAAGAGCTATCTTGTTTTAAAGGTCAGTAAGCTCCAGCAATTAGATTACAGTAATCATATAATATGACTTTTAAACAGCAGCAAATGGAAATTTAAATGGAGATTTAAAAGATGGACATAAGGCAGCTGGTAATTCCTTTAACATTTAGAGCTATATCCCTAATTAGTAGGTTTCTCTTGAAAGAAGAAAAATTCATCAATATACCTGTCTTTAACTTGTTGACATTTTTCCTTATGTAACCAATATTTATTAAGTACTTATTACTGCCAATAATATACATGAATAGGATTCCTATAAGCCTCCTACATTATTAATTTGCATGATCTTCACAGTAACCTTGAGGTAGTTAATCCTGTTATCTACAGTATAGACAGAGAACATCAAGGCACAGGAAGAATGACTTACCCAAAGTCACATAGCTTTAAACATCAGAGCTAACATTTGAATTCATGACCTAGAAAATTAAATACTGTGCTTTTTCTCCTTCTAAGAGGAACATCAAGATTATCCAGAAAGACCATTTTTCATTATTATGGCAATTTTTAAAAAGTAAAAAGGAGAACGCATCTAAATTACAATCAGAAAGAACCTACTGTTATTTATACATGCAAATAGAGCCAGTGCTTGCGTGTCTCAAAAAAAAAAAAATAGCTTTGTACAGATCAAAAATATTACCCTGGGTTTTGGGGTTGTGGCTCAGTGGTAGAGCCCTTGCCTAGCATGCATGAAGCACTGGGTTGGATCCCCTGCACCATATAAAATATATATATCTCCCTGTAATAATTGCATATGTTTATGAAGTATAGTATAGTATTTCAATACATGTTTCCAATATGTACTGATCAAGTCAGAGTAATTAATGTTTCCATATTTTAATATTTCTGTGTTAATTAAAAACTGTTTTTTAAATGTTTAAAAGATGAAAATATTAACTACCCTGATTTGATCACTATATATTATATACATGTATCAAATCAGCACATTGTGTGCCCCATATGAATGTACAACTAAAATAATAATTAATTTTAAAAAACATCACTGCTAGATGATACTACTATAAGAAAGAAAAGAGAAAGGAAAAATGGCTCAGCACAATCCAAATCCATCTTTAAATAAAATCCAAATCCATCTTAAATAAAAGACTCTCATTTCTTGAAAATTGCATATATCATACAAGTTGCATTTAAGATTACCAGCATTCATCTCCATTTATGAAAAGATGATCACAGACACAGTAAATGAAATAGGGTATTAAAAACTCCAAGGAATGTGGTTGTTTTACTCTAATTGAAATAAACGAGAATAATAAACTATTTTAGCAACTAAAACAAAGAACTCACTGGCTCTCCTTTGTACCACTCAGGATTAAACTTCTCTTTACTTTTAAGTGAAAAGGAAGCATTCATTTTGGGATCATACATTTTATTGTCAATTACGCCATGGGATTCTGGATAAAGTCCCTACAAAAGATAAAACATGGATTCTGTCACGCATTGCAAAACAAGTTACTTTTTTATGCAAAATATAACTTATTCCCTTTAAATAAGGGAATGCAGAGTTGAAATGTAGAGCTTACTGTGACAATGCTGTAGTGATTGGGAAAAGTTTTTGTTGGATACACTGGTCTCAAGTTTTTGGTATACGTTCCACAGTTTTCTAGGAGGGGAAAAAATAAACATTATTAAATACATCTGACAATCTACTTATCTCATTTAGCTTTGATACCACAGTGGTATCTTTAAATCAAGTAAAATAATTAGAATGGATTTATAACCAGATTAAAATTCAGGATGAATTATAAAGTAACACTTGGGATATAAATTCAATGTTAAAGATGTGTTTTTTCCTCTTAATCAGAAACATGGTAAACAAAATAATTAAGCCAATTAAGTAGTTATGCCATACTTAACAGTAACATAAAGTTCAAGACAGACAAGTTGGAATAACATGATGCTTGCAAGATATTTGCTTGGACTTAGTAGTCAAACACCTAAATTATAATAGGGAATGAACAAAAAAAGCTGCACTGGCAACAAAATCTACAAATTAGAATAAGGGTGAAATAGTAGTTGGGGTGTCAGGGTACTGTGCTACAGATTCAGAACCAACCACCCCTGGATGAACTGGACTGCTTAAAAACAAAAGATGTCATTTGGCTTCAAGTCAGAGAAAGCAAGGAAGTCAGACTGCTCTGATGGATGGCCTACTCATTTTTCCCTAGTGTCCCACTTTTCTTCTGCTGCCTCTATTATTGAGGAAGGAACTTCTACCTAATGATTCCAGTGTTTCAATACTGCATTGCCTGATAATGTTCCTCAGATTGCCAGGTGTCTGCATCACTCACTGCCTTGCTAACAGTTCGGAACTGCAGGCTGCATACTCCAGTTGGCCAATACTAGGGCTTGGGCTCATTGTGTATTGATTTCTTGAAAATTGCATATATGAGTACCTATAGCTCCTTAATTTTGAAATCAGGATGTCTTGCTGGTGTGATAGAGACAAAAAGCTTCAAAATCCATGGGCCTACTGGTAAGAACACAATCTTGTCCATATAAAGCTAAAAACTTTTTATACCAAATGTTTTTTACTCAAGATAAAAAAAAAAAAATTCTTTTCCTCCAGGTGGAAATTAAAAACTGAAATTCTAAAAATCTACAAAACTCATTTTGGCATGTAGTAAGACATAATTTGGCCTTTACTGAGAGTAATTGTAATGCTTAAAACAACCTTGTATACTCAATTATGGGAAAAAACATATTAGAATGCCAGCAGAACATTAAAATTGCTGTATTTACATGACAGCTACATAATTACTGAGCACCAATAACCAGTAACTTCTACAGTTTTAATATTCATATGTGATTATCTTCCTTTTTCTATAATGCTAATACAACTGATTTTTGGTACCCATATTGTTGGTGAGTTTAAAATTGGGGCATCAATATCAGGAAAAGACCATTCTACCATTTCATCAGTGACCTGCAGAATAATCATTCAACTGAGGGCTCAACTGAGATTTTTTTTAAAAAATTGAAAGGATTCGATTCAAACGATAATACAGGATAAGTAGCAGTAGTTCAAGTCTATATTAGTAGTATCATATCATTTTGTATAAATATGTCAAAATATACTCTACTGTCATATATAACTACAAAGAACAAATAAAAAAAGAAAGGAATGTTTTAGAGTCATAACAAAAATAATGATAATTATAATAAAAACTAGTTTCTACTGTTAAAAAACTGTAGTTTTAAAATTCTGTTTTTAAAATGGAATAGTCATAAAATAAGAAGGAATGTTTCCACAAAAAGAATGCAAAATTCTAAGAAAATGTAAATGTGACCAGGCATGGTGGTGCATGCTGGTAATCCCAGCAGCTGGGCAGACTGAGGCAGGAGGAAAAGCCAGCCTCAGCAACTTAGTGAGACCCTGTCTCAAAATAATAATAATAAAAAAAGAGTAAATGTGTATAAAAATGGGTTACAATCCTAACATAACTGAATCATTTTAGAAGTATTTAAAAGGTAGCTTTAGAGTGATCACACTATTAAAGGCTGGAGCCTTATCACCAGGTTCAGGCTCTCTGCAATGGAGAAGTCTGGTAGAATAGTTAGGTCTGCCAGTACTTTTCCAAAAAAGACTGCTTCTCTAGTTTATCTCACCAAAATCGTGACAACCCAGTCATCAAACCTGAAACTACTTACTTAGTTTGCTAATAACAGGAAGAAGTCCACCCCAAGTGTGTAAATATTCTGCCCTGAATCCATCCAAAGAAAATAAGAGGGTAGGAGGTGAATCAAACCTGGGTTTATGAGAAAGGAAAAACAGTGTTAAAAAAGCAGAAAAAAGACACATCCAGTGAAGATCTTCCCCCTCCCCAGCACAGGTACAGTGAAGATTTTTCACTGCAGTTGGTATATAATCATAAATAAACTAACAAGTTAGCAAGCACACTCATAAAGGACATTTTCCATGTACTTATATTCACACTCATGCTTTACCATTGCCTCCTGTGTGTCCGTCATCACATAGTACTTATTAAGCACTCATACTGCTTAATCTACCATACAAGGAACGCTATTCACGGTTCCTGCCATTTCCAAAGCTAGACCAAAGACTATTAAAATATAACAGCATCTCTATGATATTCAGGAGAATAAGTGTTAATAAACAACATTACCTAAATTATGTTTTTGTTTTCATTATTTTTTTCTGAATGACTACTTTCCAACGTTCTCTTGTTGAATCTAAAAGATTGTACCTCATAGAGCATAAATGTATTTAGTTTTTAAACTTCATCTATTTAAAAATATAAATAGCTAATACAGAAGTTTGAGAGATCTTTATTACATTCAAATATTTAAGCAATAAAGAAATGATTCAAAGATTCAAAGCTAGGAATGATCAATGAAGTTACACACACACACACACACACACACACATAAAAACATAGTCAATGTGCATGGTATAGAAATCCAAAGAAAGAGAAAAAAAAAAAACCCACACAAACATACATATGACAATGTACACATCAAGAGAACAGCTGTGAATGATAGCTACATGACTATCGAAAATAGACATGGTTGAGAAACTTTGCTTCTTTGCTTCTAGTGACTCTTGGTAAATGATAGGGGAGTTGTAGACCACTGGATAACTGTGAAAAGGCCTTCCACAGAAGGTTCACTCAGTAATTTAAAATTTAAGAGCAAATTTACTTTGTCTTACCTTTATCAACCCTAGCTCCTCCCCTCCTACTCTCACACCCAAATATAAATGTGACCCTGTAAAAGGAGAACTTTCTCATTTAATTTCTATTAACTCATATTTGTAACACTAAGCACCCTTGGGAGACTGCAGTTAGTTGCAGATATAGACAATGGTCCTTATTTGTACAAAACTATTTTTACTCAACACAAAAGCAGCTTAGTGGTCCCAGGTAAATACACTGATATAATAATTTCCAGAAGAATAAAATGTGCTCAAAATTATGATCATGTTAATAAAGAAAGGAGAAGTTGTATTCTCCACTAAATGATTCAATAATAATGATCAACACTTAGAAGAGTCAAAGCTTGCTAGTATACCCATTAAAAGACAGCTTAGGTTCATGAGAAGTCCCCTTTAAAAAAAAAAAGTTTCTCTTGATGAGATTATTTAGTTTAGATTTAGTCTTTTACCATTGTTACTATGGTTTTACACCAAGAAAGGTACTCTCCATTCAAAAGGGGGAAAAGGCACCTTACATAATAAACATTAATTATATACATGATCAAAATAAGCTAAATACAAGTCAAGAATTCTGAAAAGTTTGGGAAAAATTATTTTAAACAGGTATTAAACAGTAGATCTCAAGAGGAAAAATATAAATATCTCTAATATCTTTACTTTTATTTTTTTCCAAATTTTAAATCTTTAATGATTAATTTATTGACAGTTCTTCCTCAATACCTTTATAAAATGTCTACCCTTTATAATGCACACCAACATTTTGTAAGATACTGTGCAAAATATTTTAAGACCCAAAGGAATAAATACAAATTTTTAAAAACTGTGTAATTCCACTCACAGTCATGTTATTTATCTCCCAAAATATAAGTGAACCAAAACACACACATACACAGTTAAAAAGCTACAATTTGTTACGAGTTCAGTTCTGAAAGATCCTTCCCTAAGAAGGAAGACCCTAGTCCTTCCATTTGACAATCATGAGCAATAAATACTAACTACTCCTGGCCTCTCTTTTTCCAGAGTAGGGGTCAAACCATAATCATTTCTATACCACTAGTGCCAAACAGAAGATCTTGTTAAAAATAATGTTAAAGGAGTCAATAATTGATGATTATTTTTTATCTTCTTAATATGAAAAGAGAAAAACATGGTCCTTCTAAGAAAAGAAAAAGAAAAAAAAAAACATGTCTGAGAATTTAATCTTACCCTTCTGGACACTGTGGCTCATCAATGCTCTCACATGTTTCTTCTACCCAACTTTTCTCACCTGAAATATTTTCAAGAAATAAAATGAGGTGAGCATACTTAATGGTGACAATAACTGTGATGCTTATGAGACACAGTAAGATAGATTCTAAAAACAAAATATGTTAAAATATGACAACATGTGGTATGACACCAGAGAAATACAATGAATAAAGGGAGTTATTCTGTTTTCCAAATGAGTTAATGAGTTGCCAGGAAGAAAACAATGAATGTATAATTTCAAGTCAGCCATCTGTATCTATGTGTTGTTCTGCATCCATGGATTCAACCAACTACAGGTCAAAAATACTTAGAAATACATTTATATTGAACACATGCACTGTTTTTCTTTTCATTATTCCATGAACAATACAGTGTAACAACTATATGTATGGCATTTACATTGTATAGATGTTTTAAATAATATGGGATCATTAAAGTATTCTGGAGGATTTGCACAGGTTACATGCAAGTACTGTGCTCCATGTTATTTTACATGAGGAACTTGAACACCCTTGGATTCTGATACCTGCAGAGGTTCAGGAACAAATCTCACATGGACACAGAGGGATGATTAGACTATGTTTGTGAAAACTTGAGTAGTTTTCTCATTTTCAAAATTTAACATTTTCAACTATGATTTATAACCCTTCTTCCATCTACTGTACACAATCTTTGGTATTCCAGTGTCTTCATTCTCTCTCACATAGAGTCAGGAATTTCTGTCAAGGAATTTCAAGGAACCCTGTAATTCCTGAATGAGGCATTATAATAACATCAGCTCGCAAAATAACTAATAACTAATCTTTTAAGTTAAACATTGTCTTCATTTACTACAAGAGTACTTGGGGCATAAATATCATGCAGAACTGGAAAAGTGGCCTTTCCACAAATTCAGTGTTAACATATGTCGCTATCATCAAAATAAAAGGGAAGGAAGAAGACGGGAATGAGTAGCTCTAGGTAAAACAAAATTGGCCATGTATAGGCAATAATGGCTATTAGGCTGGGCAATGGAAATAAAGTTCACTACATTATACACTTTCTCTACTTATATGTGTGTTTTAATAAATAGTTTTTAAAGTACCTTTTCAGAAAATATGGGTAGCTAAAAATATTCTTGCTAATATAAAAGCTGGCATCTATGCAAAGCCCTGGAAGACCTGGAAGATGCCAGGCTACTGGGGAATGGTGGGTACACGGCAGCCTGACCTTGACACACAGAGCTGTAGTTGATGCAGCAGTCACCCTGGGCCTTGCAGTCATCGGAACAGGAGCAGCGATTTCTGGACAACCTTTTCTCCCCACACCTGAATTTGTTGCAAGTCCATATATGTCCTAGAAACAAATGTCAACAAAGTATGTGTTATGGTTCCAACACAAAGTCAACACGGAATCACTGTCTCCTAGAATAGGAGCCAAGAGAGAGACAACGAACTGTTTCATAACTCTCAGTGACTCACAGAATCTGCCCCCACTGTGTTCACTCTGCCCTAACAGATATAAAACATGTGCACCCCAATTGTTCGTATTTCACTTAAAACTCAGAATTTCATCTTTTTAAAATGTGGACACATCATCATTATTATTATACAACTCATATGAGGACCCTGGCTTCTTCTAGCAACCATTTTTAGGGTTCTCAAAATTTGATCTAAATCCAACGGTCTCTCTTTGTATTCCATGGCATGTCCAAAGTACATAGAAAATTTTTCTGTTCCAAAGGTTTCATTTTTAAGTTTAAGCGAACATCTATGAACACAGCTTTAATAGACCCATAATAAAAAAATACTTATGTATTTCAGGCATCTTTTTGAACTTAGTTTAAGTGCAAATTAGACTCCAATGGCTTTCAGGATACTATAAACACAGGCATTTTTACTATCCATGAAATATTTAACAAAGGCAATGTATGGAAAAGTTTTTTCTCCAAGGATCTATTAAAACATAGAGGCTATTGTGAATGTTTATACGTGCTAAATTGAAAGGAAAAAAAAACTCAAATAAGGATAAATCATATACCTAAAGAATACCGAAATTGCTTTTCTTTCTTTCTTTTTTTTTTTTTAATTAATCTTTTCCTAATGTCATGATTCTGTCTTTTCCGCTGCACTTTTTACCTGGTTCTATACATGTCTCCTGGTAATCTAGACAGCAGTTTCCAAGGTCAACACAGGCAGCATCACACCGACAGTTCCCAAACGTTCTCTCAAAGCAGCGGCCTTTGCAACTTTTCACTGAAAACAGTGAGCACATTAGATGATTCCAATAAATGGTTTAATTTCAAAGCAAGCATCAACTTATATACCTAGTGCAAGTATAGAATAAATTCAAAAGATGCTATAGAAAGCACAGATGAGGTAAGAGTCACCTGAGATTCTTTTCACAAATACACACAGGGACACAAACAAAAGGTAATTTATACATATAAATTTACCAGGCTTGGGGTATGGCTCAGTGATAGAGCATCTTGCCTGGGATGCTTGAGACCCTGGGTTCAATCCTCGGCATCATGGGGAAAAAAACTTAAGAATTTTATCTCTGTCATAAACAAAAGAAAAATTTTTTAAAAATTCATTACAGACCTTACTAGGTCTGAAAAAAACTAAAATACTTATAGTCTGATAAAGAAAAATTAAAATAAGGAATGGTTCTGAAATTTTTATGCTATGAAAAGGTAGCTAATAAGCAGCTATGGGTTCCCCTAAAATTTCAAACTGTGTAAAAAAAAAAAAAATTTAAGGTGGCTATCTAGGAATATTTCAGAAAGGGAAATATCTGATTTACCTCACTGTGATCTTGGCATGAAGTAGCTGTACAGAACATGCTTTCCAGCACTGACCCTACCATGACCTGGGACACTCTTCATCTTCAGAGATCTGACTCCCTCCACAAGGTTTTCCTGATCTCCCCAACCCAGACCCATCTTCTCTTTTTAAGTTTTATAAAACCACATACTTCCCCTTAATCATGTGATTCAGGTTACTTGATTAATGTCCCAGATTTGTACTAGACAGCACACTTCCTAAGAACAAAAGCTATATCTGGATTTTCTTCAGTACACTGTATCCCTAACATGATGCAGGATGTCTGACGTGGAGTTGGCACTAACAAGTTTTTGCTAAATGGATAAATGGTGAATATGGAAGGAAAATATTTTTCTTTAAAAACAATAATTTGACTATGTAACTCCTTACTAAATCCCTTGAATAATCTGGGGTTTTATTGTATTACCAGAAAATTAGGATAATGAATAAAAGAAAAAAAAGGTAAAATAATGGTCATCCAACAACAACAAAAAAGGAATAATCTTACATCTTAACTTTAATAATGGTCTCCTGATCCAACAAGATGACACTCCCTTGAAATTTAACTCTCATTTGGAACTGGGAAATCAGGCAATTTTAGGAAGAAGGAGTAACAACAATAATTTCTAGGATTAAGAATACTAACTTTCACATCCAGACAGTGGTGGCACATGCCTATAATCCCAGCAACTCGGGAGGCAGAGGCAGGAGGATCACAAGTTCAAAGCCAGCCTCAGCAACGGAGAGGCACTAAGCAACTCAGTGAGACCCTGTCTCTAAATAAAATACAAAAGAAGCCTGGAGATGTGGCTCAGTGGTTGAGTACCCCTGAGTTCAATCCCTGGTATTCCCCACAAAAAAAAATTATGCTATGCCCATATAGAAACATACCACAATGAACCTCCTATTATATATAATTATAATGCACTAATTAAAATATTAATAACAATAATAATAGAAGGGAGATCAGTAGAATAGAGCAAGCAGATGGGGGGGGTAAGGGAAAGGGAGGTACTGGGAAATGAGACTGATCAAATTACGTGTATGTATGAATATAGCCTAATGAATTCTGCCATATATATAATTATAATGCACCAATAAAAATAAAAACATAATGCAAAAGGTAAATAAAATTACTATGTTCCACTCTTTTCAGCAGTATATGACATCTTAACAATCACTAAAATTTTTTAAATAACTGTTAAAATTACAGAATAGTTGAATAGGAGGGGAAAATTTTGTTCAGTTTTCAAAGTTGAATTCCCAAGGAAAACCATCCAAGATTTTATAGGGAAAAAAAGAAACACCAAAGCCAAAAGAATGAAAACTATGATTTACTGTTTAATTATTTATAGTAATCTTATCAATGCTGGGTAGATTTCTGCATTTGATAGTAAGAAAAACATAATCAGAAGCTTAATAATTTCATGATTACTTTGAAACCAACAACATCTTGCAATTTTAAAAACCCTAAGATCGGATACTGATCAGTTTCTGGTTGCCTGGGATTCTACCTGGTCACCTAGCAACCTCTGAACGGCTTCAGCAACTAAATCCTTGGGGGAGAAAGAATCTCAAGAGTCCCTAGAGGGTGGGGGCTGCTCTAGGGACACAGCGCAGAACCTGCTAGCCCTGTCTATATTCTTCATTGTTCTCAAGTGATTTTTTTTAAAATTATTTTGGGAGGGTTTGGATGAGGCTGAACACAAGTACACACACACACACACCACACACAGGCAATACTAGTTACCTTCTTTGGCGCAACTTGGTTTCAACCCAAATATACAACCAAGGATTGTTGTTAATACACATACTGACAAAACCTGTAAGGGGAGAAGAAGACAATTAGAGAGTGTCAAAATCCTTTTTGTCCAAATACTGTCTTTCTGTAAATGTTTCTAAACTTGATAGTGCTGTTTTGTTTGCTGATCTGGCTGCTGGCCACAGGGATGTCTTCACTATTTGAAAATTTCAAACTGTATTATATACTTGGATTCACCTATTGTCCTGAGTACGTTGACTTCAATAAAAAATTCACTTACATGTCAGCAAATATTTCTAGATCATCCAAAAGTTATATAATGAGAAACTCCTAAGATAGTATGATGAAGTAGTCATAAAAATTACAATACTTAAGGAAAGCAAAAGGAAAATTTATTTAGAGACTCAATTTCCAATTTATTAATGCATTAAAGGCAAATGGGAGTATTATATGCCTCACTTAACAGTGAATGACACAAACCTAAGCAGAACAACCTCCTATGGGCAGTGTGTGGGCCAAGCACTGAGGAGGCTTACTTGCTCCTTTCTGGGCCCAAATATTGCCACACATGGGTGGTATGGTTTGGGGTAATCATTCGGCCTCTCTAAGCAACAGTTTATTCATCTATAAAATTAAGGGGTAGGACTTCGTGGATCTCTAAAATCTTTCCAGGGTTAACATTTGCCACATTCTCATTCTCAATAGTATATGTCTAATGACAAAAGGGAACTATCAGAGAAAGCTTGCACAAAGAAGTTCACAAGGATAAAAGGAGACAACAAGGTATCAGAAGGGGACACTCAAGGATTCTCCTAAACATTCAATGGTAGTATAAATGGGCACAATGATAATTGAAGGGTATTTGTCAAATACCTACCGAAACTACAAAATGCATTTTACTATCAGTTTTGAAAATATAGGGAAATGAAAAATAGTAAAACCAATATCTATTTAGTATACTATAATTTAAAATAGTAAAATAATGGATTTAATTTTTTTGCTTCTTTTTAAAACTTAGCTAGAGTAGTTTGAACAATATTTATTTTCTTCTCACCCATCATGAGTGAGAACCTTTTGTATGCCCCGAGGAATTAACACATTCCTTTCTAAGCTTAGCTCTGTTTCCAGCATTTCAACCTTTGTACTTTCAATATCCTGAACCATCTGTAGGAGTTTCTTTCCTATGAAGTTCTGTCCCATGTCACTTTCACTGGGATACCTTCTTCCTCTTTGTCACAACCACACTTTTCATATACATCCATAAATTTGCTTCCACTAAGTTCCTCTGGCTTGTATCTAATGTAGTAATCTGTGGCAGCAGCAGCTTCCCCATGGTTGGCTATTTTATCCATAACTCCATTTACATTCAACTAGAATTTCACTTCCAGCATTATCACTTTTCTTTACTGTACTTTCAACCCTTCATTCAATTCCCGTTTCAATTACACACTTCTATAGACTATCATGTAAGCTTACTATGGGGAGGCAGAGAAGCAACACAACTACATGCTTTGCTGCCTATGTGTGAACAGACTAAAAGATGCACAGTGGCCAGCCACTGACAGACTTTGAAACAAAAGTGATTGGCCACTAAGTAGGATAAGCACCTGTTATTTACAAAGTAATTCACAGATTGATGAACTAGTAGCCAAGTTTGTACTTTAGGCAATTACTCACAGTAAATATACCTGAGTAGCTGAAATTTGAAGCATGTTGTGGGGAGCTGATAATATTCAATCAAACAGTGGTAACTGAAATTGTGCATGTCAGAGAATGAGGAAGCTAGCACTAGCAGTACTCTCACAAGTGGGCAACACAGTTATGCAAGGACATTTAAAAATGGTTTGTATTCATTAAAAACAAAAACAAACAAACAACAACAACAACAACAACAACAAAAAAAAAACCAAAAAACAGAAACAGCCTAACTTGTTTTGAAATTGGCTTACCAAGTCATGTTTTGTCTACATAATGGTAGGCTCTCAAGGGATTAGCCTCAGAGATAGGCATCTCAGAAGATTGGGGGGGGGGGGGGTGGGAAGACTCACACATTCACAAAAACCTGAGCAAGAAGAAGTTGGAAGCAGATGATGATGAATCTCCTTAATTTCCTTGACCCAGTAAGATGCATCTATTGGCAGTGAGAAAGTCAAGGTGGGGCTCTGAGGAAACAGAGGGGACTTGGGACATCCCGTGTGAAGGATGGCAAAAAATCAGAGAGGACAATGAAAAGCAAGTCAACAGGAAAAAGTAAAAAGAACTTCAAGAGCTGGGAGCCAAGCTTAACCTGAAATTATGGACTGTAGTGAACCCGAATGGCCTGAAACTCTAGGAATTGAAATGGGGAAATGGAGTAAAAAGATGATAGGACCAGGGAAATTGGAAGGCAGACAAGAAAGCACAGATGGACAGGGAATCAGGAGAGGATGGGCTGATCTAACAGGACTCAGAGGCCATGAGTATATATAGGAAGAAAAGGAAACTTTGGAAAGATTTGGTGGTAAGCAAGTATTTAAACTGCAACCATTGGTTTAAATTATGCCTGGTGTATGTAGCTCTTTACTCTCTTAAGTAGCAGAAGATACATGCTGAGGTTTTAAAAACCACCTCTTCATTTGTTAAACAAAAGTTACTTAGAATTGATTTTTATAAGATAATGTGTATCACAGAACTGAATCAAAATCATGATCATACTGTTACTTCTTATGTGTACTCCCACCCATAAAAGATGAAATTTGGAGTATCTACTACTCTGTTACAAAATAATCAATCAAAATGTTTTAGTAGGAAAATTTCTTCAGCAATTTTTGAGTTGTGAAACCTTACTCAGTTTCAAGTTTATTCTCAAAGCTGTCGAATTCAGCATTGTCAAAATCCACCATCCCCTTCATTATCTCTACACCAATTTAGGCATTTTAATATTTTGATATTTTCTTTGCAACTATAGAGAAAGAAAGCATTTCACCTTAGAAAACTTGAAGCTGGAAAACAAAGCAAAGTTGTTGAAATTTTTGCCTCCATGTTAAGAGAATATTTTTTTTTTTTTTTTTGGAGTTTCCTGCTTGTTTTGTTAGGGTTCCTAAATCATTAGTATTTCTTACACATTTAGTGAGCCAAGAAAAATAGACACTTTTAAAAACCCCTGTTTTTTCCCCTCACAGGCATTAATTTAATGTGTTATTATTCTTTCTTGAATGCCTACTGCTGCATTCCCTGGGCTAATACAATGAAAGTAACTCTGAACCCTATAAAGAAACAAAAGGTGAGGGCAGTGAACATTAAAATTAATGACTGCAATGGAACAGGTCAAGAGCTACAGTAGAAATATATAAAAAATACTAACAGCAGAGAGGAGAACAGCAAAGGAGAAAAGGGTTACAAAAGGCTTCACAAAGAGACATTGAGAACAAAAACAAACAACAACAACAACAAAAGCTTCCCCCACCTTTAGCAATGAACAAATGTTTGAGTAACTGCCAAAATGCACAAAAGTAGATTCAGTGGGAAGTATCAAAAAAAAATGGGGGTGAAATACCTAATTTTGGATTGTATTATCTAGTCAGGGCAACAACTCTGGAAGGATACCCCATGTCAATGATAAAGATATGAAACAGGGAAAAGCAATCTAACAGTTCATCTCTGCAGTGACGATATATACAATAGTGCTTCAGATGAAGCCATAGAAGGACAGAAGACAAGACCAGTGTGGGAAAAAATAATAACAACTACAACTATATGACTGACAGTTCCACAGGACATGCTCAGTGTTAGGTGGTTCTCTAATTATATTAAATTACTTACCATACAAGATAGGTTATGATGATTATACTAGTATAAGGAAACTGAGCTACAGAGAGGTTAGTAACTTGTCAAGAACCATGGAGTGGAAAACAAAAGCAGCAAGATTTGAACTCAGCAGGTAGGCTGCAAAGGGCCTGGGGCAAGCAGGGGAGTGGATGGAGAGGCTGAAAGCGGGCTGAGGCCTTGGAGCAGCCAGTGAGAAGTTGTTGGGCCATTTAATTGCACAAGTAACACACTAAATGTACAAGTTCTAGAAAGGTCCTCTGGCAACACCATGAAAGGCAGGGGTCCACATGGGCAATGAGGGCTTGTCCTTACCTGCCCCACTTCTCCCAGGAGATGCTCTATGCTCCTCTACGCCTTGCCTCACCCCAGTTAGAGCAGCCCTGGACTATTCTCCATGAGATTTGTTTATTTATCTGCCTCTGACTAACTAAGTTCCAAGGAGCCATGAATTTATTTATTCATTTCTGTATTTATTTATTCATTTCTGTATTTTTCTGTCTAGCAGGATGCCTTGCACACGGTAGACTTTCCACAAATAATCATTCAGCTCAAAACCATCAGGCAGTGATTTAAGTGAACACAATTTTGAAAGAAAAGCATGATCCCCTACTTTTCCTCATCTGATATGACAAAAGATCATTGATTCATTAAGGGCTTTTATGCCCAAGGATATCTATAATAAATATACAAGCAAAAAAAAAATTAGGAAATGGTAGATTGCCAGATTTGGTAATGTGATGGATTGAATAAAATCCAGTCCTTTGTGAAGATGAATTAGCTAATCTCATTGCCTATCAGACCTTTGAATTTTGACAAAGCTGCATGTTTTCTGGAAAAAAAAAACTGAGAATTCAATTTATTACAGCACTGTGAGTCTTCAGGAGATATTCCTTCCTGGAAAATGAGAATTAGACCTTGATAAGTAAATCCACTTCTAAGCATTACAAAGTTCAAAGCAGATGCTAGAATCTTTTCTCAGAGCAAGTTCCTAAGTCCACTCAAGCAGCTGTTCAAGTCGGCTTGGTCTCTGATACACTCAGCATCATTTTAGTTATTTTTGACATTTCTGAAGGAGGTTTTCACAAACTGCAGTGAAATTGTATGTGAAGCAATTTATGGAATCAGTTACATGAAATGGGGGAAAAGAGATGTCAAGTCTGAACAAGCCCATCACGCAGAGGCAAACCTGACACTCAGCTTCAGTGAAACACTAACATTCTGAAGCTGCAGACATCTTCCTGGTGCAAAGACCTC